AACGCACCTGACCGAGAACGATGGCCTCCGGGGGCAGAATCTCCGTATCCGAGATGTCCGGAAGGTGTTGGAGGTAGTCAATGAGCTCTACCAAGTGTGAGTCGACTATGTCACGGGCAGTTTCGCTGCCACCGTGGACGATTAGGTTGTGCAAAAGAAAAACGGTGCGGTGCTGAATGGTAGGCGACGGATGCGCCACCAATGCCTCCAGCTTTTCTTTCCACTTGCCCACCTTATTTGCAAAAGAGCAGAAATCGAAAATGAGGGAAACAGTGAGTACGGGAATGTCAAAGTCAATCTTCTGAACAGAATATATGAAAACTGATAATAAGGGGAATGTGGAGACCTGAGTGATCTTGCGCAAGATACCAGGGTCGTAAGACATTGTGGCGAGAGCGCCAGCCGCAGCGCGCACCAAAAAGATGTCCTTCTCGTCGTAGCAGTAAAGTGTCAGTAGTTTCACCACCTCCGACCCACTCGACCCACAAGCCACGCTGCCCGCCTCCTCAGCAGGCAGTTCGCCACCACAGGCCACCACTACCGCAGGGTGCTGCGCCAGATTGCTGAAGCACTCCACTGCTGCACGACGCAAGTCCTCGTGGTCCTCGAACATGTAGTGTTCTACCTTCGGCAAGGCACCCTCCCGCAGCATCCGACAACTGCATTCGGGTAACAGAAACGAAACTTTAGTTTTGGCTACAAATGTGAGTGCTGCGGATCACTACTTATGCAACTAGCCTCTAAGGGCTGAGATGTACTGAAGAAGCACATCAAGCATGGAAACAGTAAAACCCTTCGGCTCACAGTTGCATTCTCAGCTAGCGATGCCCTTCAAGGATTGCGCATATCTATCTCGCTGCTGCTGTTGCATTTCCCAGCCAACACACTCTGACTTATGGGCACTTTTCTTCTAATTTTTAAAACCTTTCATCAAATTGATTTACTGATGTATAATCGACAGCTTTAAACCTTACAGTAACGGTATGTGGATTTCGAACCAAGGTGTTTTTTTAATACTCCAAGCAAGACTAGACGAGGACGCTGGTTAGAACTAGTAAAGATGCTTTTATGTCCCCGACACTCCAATCGTGCCCACTTCCAAAAGTGAGCTGACCTCTAAAAAACTGCTACTTCCGCAGGGAAGGATCAACCGCTGTCGCTTAAATGCACGGCACCAACCTCATCGGATCTTGTCATGCTCCAAACTGGTGTCTATCAGGGAAGAATGGACGACAAGGTGGAAGAACCCTTTTTACAAAAAGGCGATTAAATATTCTTTCAAAGGAACAGAAGGGAGCAGAACTGGCTCTATATGAGCATTCAATTTCGTTTACAACAACCGACAGAATCCATCTGACATAGCTGAGGAAGTTGAGCTCCTCCCCAGTGATCATCCAACGGAGGTGAGAAGTGAATGAGGCGGAAAAAAAACTGATATCATACCGATGTTTATGATCCAAGGAAGCGAGATTGGTGAGGGCAAGCAGACCCTCAAAGTTCTGTAGAGCCGGACATTCCATGTCGAGAAGTTGAAGCAGTGGTCGTATCACTTCCAGTGACTAGAAAGAAGCAATAAAGTCAGGATTACAACAAAAGTAGTGTGAAAAATAATGAGCTCCTCGAAAAGCAGGGAGAATAGGAGAGAAAGCGAAAGCTAGCCAACTGCACTATAAAAGATATCAAGTGCCAAAAAGTTCATATGGCTTTCGGTATAGCTCCGCCGGGAGCACTTTCAAAATTGGTTTTGTGATTCGTAAGGTGTATGCGATTGTCCATGCCTAGGCATTATGAAACACATCAGTCGACCAATACGGAATTATTAGCCCCTTCTTCCCATCCTCACTCAGTCACTCTGCTATTTTTGATCCCCTTCATTTAGTGGAAATTAGTTGTTATTTTTAGTCCCTAATTAAGCTGTGATGATTAACGACCTCTGTATTCCAACATTCCTCACTTGCAAACCATTCACTCGCTACTCAACCCACTATCCCAAAATAGGCGCTATTGTCTCGCGTGCGCACAGGATGAAATGCCGACAGAGTCGCGCACTCACTGAAGGCTAAACAATTACGCTTGAGGTGCTCGACTCAATACAACTCTAACTTGCCCAGGAAAAGTTAAAAGAAAGTCCTATGTCTACTAGACAAAGTAAAATCTCTGACCGCAAAGCTTATCCAGACAAATACTGCGCTTTAGTTACGACAATAAGAGATACATTATCCCACCGAATTCTCCCCATCTCTTGGTCGATTTTCCCCTGGGTCGGACAATCATTAGCAAAATAAATGCATGAAATCAAACAGTTAGGAACTAAATTTTGGAGGTACATAACACGGAACGGAGGGAGCTCACAGAATTCGCTGTAAGCTTCATCCCATTGTAACAACAGTTTACGCTGCAAGAGATTATAAGGTCCATCCTTCCAACGGGAAATGCGGCTAAAGGAGCCTTCAGAAGTTGGTTATTCGTTGGTGCTCAGTCACATAAAGGGATTCAGACCCCCACAAATGCAAGTAGGTAATAACGATATAATGGTTGATTTTCTTCTGAAGTTTCAAAAAAAACATCTCTCCATAAGTCGAGGGGATTCAACCACTATATCATCAACTGACTACTAAGTTATAAAAGCGCAAAAAT